CTTGGGAATATCTTTTACAAATTATCAAGGGTTGAGCTGGGCATGATAAACTTTTTTATAATTATAAGATCTTGGATGCTTCTTAATATTGTGAGCTTGAACCTGGCATGACATCTATCGTAAAAAGTGAATAAAAATCTCATTCCCCGTCATTTTTGACAGGCTTTCTACTAGTTAATATAAAACCCGGCCGAAGGCCGGCAAAAGCAGGCCGAAGGCCCGCAAATGGGGGATATGGGGGACGAAGCCCCCCACAAATTTTTTCAGTTGAGCCCCCAGAGATTGTAAAGGTTAGCGACGCCCCTGCTTGCATACTTGATTTCTTCCTTGATTTCCAATATTATGATTATCGTTATGTCTTTGAATAAATGTTGAATTGTTATATCTGTTATATCTGTATATAATCATAATTGAATCTATAATTATTATAGTTATTGTTATTATAACTAGCTCTATTATCAAATCTTGAAGAATTATTCGATCCTGGATAGTTTGCCCTGACGTTGTTGTAATAATTCGCGTTATATTTCTGATATATAGGGTTGTAATTATTTAATTGATAATTATTTATTTGAAAGTCATAGCCTCTTGTTGTCCATCGTTGTCTGTTATCGTAATTAGATTATAAATTTTGCCTTTCGTCATGGTCTCCATATCTCACCATCTGTTTATTTTCTTCTATTTTCCTACCTCTTTGCCTCTACATGTTTCACGGTTATTTCATCTTCTGTTTTTTCGTTTAAAGAAATATTTTCAACATTAGCAATTATATTTTTTTAAAATTCTAACTCCAGAAAATTATCTCTTAAAGTAAGAACTTCTGCTAATGTAATGTTTTCTTTTAAAATAATTTACTGCCTAATACTTTTGCTGATTGACGAAATTTTTACTTTTTCAATAACTCTATTATCATTTAGCAAACATTCATTTTTTAAAATTCATAATCTACTTACCCAATTGATGTAACTTTCATTTTTACCTTGTACAGCTGCGTTATATAATAATAAGTTGGAACTTGTAGAATTCCTCGGATGTAATAACCTGAATTTTTCAATCAATATCGATGGATTGATGAAGTGGGTAGGTGAACATATTGATTTGAGCTTGATATATACTTCATCTGGTAGTCTTCTTGTAAAAGATCCTGCTTTTTCGATGTCCGAGATCTGAGTATCTTTGAAGATGTCTTCGAATCTACTCAAAAATAGATCGCCATTGCCTGAGTATATTAGAAATTCAATATTTATATTATCATTATTATTGGGAATCTGTTTCATATTTATTTACGATTTCCTCGAATATGTAGCGGAAATGCCACCATGAAGTTTTCTAAATTTATTATGCAATTGTCCATAATGTTTACTGGTAATAGGTATAACAAATTTAGGGATTTTATTTATCAATTCAAATTACAATCATATAATATATTTTCATGCTTATATAGCTTGTGAAAATCAATTTATATAAACCAAAAATCAATTTAATAATTTACATAAACGAAAAATCAATTTAATAATTTACATAAACAAAAAATCAATTTAATAATTTATACAAACGAAAAAAAATTTAAATCAAACTATTGAGTTTATATCACAAAATGAGTCTGCAAGGTTAGTATTAAGTTAATAACGAAAAAGAACAGGTCATCTCAACAATATATTTGGTGAATTCCATATCAAATCAACCAAGGTTTCAACCCGACCCCCTTCAATTTTTCTTAAATTTTGTACACTGGTAGTATATACTATAACTACCTTCCAACATTGTTTACCCGCTAAGATATGGCCGTTTAAAGCGCGAAAAAATGGTACATTTTTGACAAAATGCACCTCATTTATTTTCAAATATCTCGAGAAATAATTAAGTTAGAAAAATAAATTTTATTTTGTAGCTTAATAAAAGTTCTTTAAAATGACATAAAAATAAATATGATAGACATTTGATTAATAACCAGATGTGTAAAACCCGGAATCGCCATAGAAAAAAAAAGTATTTTTTTTTCAAATTTTTTTTCCTGTAGATAGATATCACACTGCTTTATATTTGTACAAAATCCTAGACTGGGATGAACATGGGTTTAGGAGTTATGGCTCTTTGTATGGCTAATAAATTTAACATTAATATCATCATATTTTAATTTAATGAATAGTTATATTTAAAAATTATGTCTAAATGACAGGCCCTTACTTTTTTTTTATTATTTATCAAAATTTTTGAGAAGTGGCTGCAATAATGAGCTTTGTTTAACACTTTAGTTAAATCTTGTCCCGAAGTTACTTGACAAAATAATTCTAAACATATTTATAACTTTCTTTGCCTCAAATTGCATTACATATAATACAATCAAAATTTATAATTAAAATATATCATATATTATAATCATCCAAGGAATTTTAATAAATTATGACTTTTGTTTTCGTCTAGGGGAATAAAAGCTTGGAACTATGTGTTCCAGAAATTATCTTTGCTCTCATAAATCTGCTTTCAAAATGACTTTCTATGTTCATATATTCATTATTGCTCACAAATATCCCCATAGATATTATTTCTTGCATAGTTAAATAAATCTATTGTTGTCAATATGTGATGTTCATATGGACGTTGCAAGCTTGCTCGAGCTGCTAATCGTTTTGTAACGGCCCCCAAAATGTCGCATGGACTCTTACCTTGTGCGGTTTCAAAAAATGTCACTCAGCCTTTATCCCAAAATCATTTTCATGATTGTAGAGATTAATGAAATCTTTTATTTTTATATTGGCTACTGCTTCATCAGAAAAATAATAAATTTTATGCACTCTATTAAATCTTTCCTTCAAGAATACGATCAATTTTTAAAATAAATAAAACACATGCGTTATGCTTTAAACAATCTGATATAACCACTAAATTTTCATGTTTTATTATGTTGTTCTCACGGTAATAAATTATAAAAAAGTTAGTGGCTTGATTATTGATCTGATTAAATCCTTGTGCATGGTTCTGCACTACAAATGAATAGTTTTCTAAAAAGTCTGCAATAACTAAGAATTCGCCAACATTTAAATTGAATTTTAAAAAGTTTCGAATTAATGATTATCGTGAAACTATAAACAAATGAGGAATTAAATTGTTTTATTCAATTAAATAATCTACAGATTCGTCACGGATTTTGTCAGTGTTTCGAGGGTAGTTCGATCAACTGCTATCCATTGTTTGAATGTTTTATGATCTATAGAATTCTCGTCAAAATATATTAAGCCTTTCTTTTTGGTAGATTATTTTATGCTAAATAAAATATTTAAAATTATTTTGTCAAGTAATTTTAATTTCGAGATAAAATTTAACTAAAGTTTTAAACAGCTCATTATCCCAGCCACCTCTCAAATTTTTTTTATAAAGATAAAAAAAAGTAAGGGCTTATCATTTAGACATAATTTTTAAATTAACATTATTTCATACATTAAATTAAAATATGATGATATTAATGTTAAATTTGTTCAATTTTAGCCATATAAAGAGTGATAATTCCTAAATCCATGTTCATCGCAGTTTAGGATTTTGTACAAATATAAAGCAGTGTGATATCCATTTACAGAAAAAAAATTTTGAAAAAAAATCCTTTTTTTTTCTATGGCCATTTCAGGTTTTACACATCCGGCTATCGATATTAATAAGATGTCCATTATATTTATTTATATGTCATTTTAAAGAACTTTTATTAAGCTACAAAATAAAATTTAAATTACTTTTCTAACATAATTATTTCTCGAGATATTTGAAAATAAATAAGATGCATTTTGACAAAAATGTACCATTTTCCGCGCTTTAAACGGCCATATCTTAGCGGGTAAACAGTGTTGGAAGGTAAAATTTGATTTTTTCTTATTTATAGTATATACTACCAGTATACAAAATTTAAGAAAAATTGAAGGGGTCGGGTTGAAACCGACTTTTTTTGTTGATTTGATATGGAATTCACCATATGTATTTTTGATGTTATAAACGATAAATTGCCTGCTAATACAGTTTGCAAACATTTCAGGTATATTTTTCTTTGATGTTAATATAGCTATATAACAGGTTATACTAAATTGTTTACTTTTAATATTTTTTCAGATTGGTCAGAGTTTGTTATGATAGACTCAAAATCAAATCCCTGGAAAAAATTTAATAAATTATTTATTATTCTGTAGCCTAATTAAAATATTATATCTCCACTTTTGGTAACTTTACATGAGAGCAATTTAAAAAAATATATTTCTATTGTTTTCAAAAGGAAGGTTTTTAATTTGAGCTATTATATAAATATTTCGAATTGGCCCGATTAAGATTTTAGCCAAAATAATATTATATAAGCCTCGCAATTTCATCACAGATGGCAGAAAGGTTTGGAATCTATTTTCTAAATCTCGAACTTACAATATTATCTTGGCTAAAATCTTATTCGGGTTGTTTATAAAAATCGACTCATGTATTTTTTAACCGGTTGACCAACTACAACATTTATTCCAAATTATATATTAAGATTCACAATATTCTAAAAATTTTATTTAAAACCTACTTAAGATTTAAGGAATTAAATATTAATTATATTTTAATAAATTTTATTAAAATATATATAAGAGTTAAAGAATTAAATATAAAACTATAATTATTTATTGACCAGAGTTTATTTGGCTTTAACTTATATATTTTAAAACAAAACATATTTATGTATTGTCTATTTTCAATGGATTGTTATTCTCCACCTACTTGGAAATATTTTAAGCATTCTGTCGTTCGTGGGTAAATAATTGGGAGGGCCTCCTTGGTCCATTTGGTCCATTTTAGGTCAAAATGGACGATTTTTTCATTCATATGAATTTATAGGTTACGGTTAGGGTTAGGGTATTCATTTCTTCTTTTAACAAATAGTCTTAAATTATCAGCTACAGTATTAAGCATAATGTATTTAAATGATTTTAATTTACCGCGATTAAATAGACCAATCAGAAAAAAATGGACCAAATTTACGATCAAATGACTTTACGATCAAAGTTAGGCAAATCAAATAATTCATATGATATTTTTTTAAAGGTAAATGATAATTCTTATTGCTTAAATAATGAAATAGCTAATGATTATATATAATCACTATATTTTAAATATGAAATTTTTTTTACTAAAAAAACTAACTCGAAAGAAAGAAATACACTCATATATAATTTAAATATTAATTTTTCTTTTACATAATAGCCATTTTTTCTACATATAAATTATTCCTGGAAATATATCACCTATAAATTTATTTGATATAATATCTACTATTACTTAGGTGATAATTTTTGACAAATAATAGCACAAAAATAAGATTCTAACATTTATGGTTAAAATAAACCTTAAATTTATTGTATATATCCAAATAAATTTAAAATTTTTCCTAACAAATATTCTAAACATATAACAAAAGCTGCCATTTGTTTTATAGGATTTTTAAATCTTTAATAATAAATAACATTATTTTAAGTTTATATTCACTACTACCAAACTATATTCTGGTTGTAAACAATTCATCTTTAATTTCTATTTATTGATTTAATTATTAATTTTGGATGATAATATAATAATTTCAAACAATGTGTAGCTTGTCAAGGTATGGTCATTTATATCATAAATTCTTTAATTAATATATAAAGTTTTCGAATCATTAAGCAAGCCCTTATTTTAATTCAAAATTCAAAAATAAATATGACTCCATTGACACAATAAAATCAGATTGAATCACATAAAGAAATGCCCTAAACAAGACCTAAACAAATACCTCAGATAAAAGATACTTAACAAATTTCCCCAATAAAAAGTTTAAATGCTTAAAAAGGTGAACATTTTAAGAACCATTTTTTTGTATTTCTAAAAGTAGGGTATTTTTGTCTAAGTTTTTTCCTTGGCATTTTTGGCCACGTCTTTTTCTCCAGGACATTTAGGTATATTTAGGATTTTTATGGAGAAGAAAACTTTTATGCCTATGTTTGGTTAGACATCTTTTTATTTATTTTTTTTTCTCAAATTTTTCTATTATAGACATTATTTTTTAAATATATTTTTTTAAAAAATGGTATATAACAGAAGCGCCAATACCATCTTTTTAGCTAATTATAATACTACTACTAACAAATATTGCCTGATACCATTGAAACTCAATACTAGCCAAAAAATTAATGTAGTATATATTGAAAAAGTAAAATTGTGATTTAACAATGTGATTTTTTATTTATTTACAATTAATTTATAGAATTAATAAAATAAATTAAAACAGGAAATAAAGATTAACAGCAACCTTCTTTCTTTTTTATTAGTCTATAAATTTTTATATGATTTTTTTCTATAAATTTATAGTGTAATGTAATTTTTTTTAAATTTATGAAGGCTAATTATAATTGTTGAGCATTGGTTGTTATTAGTTAAAATTGAAAGTATCTGCCAATACCGATATTGAGATTAAGTATAGATAATGGGGTATCTCTGGCTTATAATGACTTATCCTATATATTTTCTGCAAATAGGGTGTCAGGGATGTTGAAGGAAATTTTTTATTAACTTGACATGATATTTATAAAAATTGGCATTAGTGTTGTTAATAGTTACATTTTTAAAATAACTCAGTTATGAGTTTCATCTTTAGAAAGTAATTAAATAACTTTAACCAGTTACATTTCAAAAGTAACTAGTTACATTAAAGTTATTTTTAAATTTATATGTATAACTCAACATTTTAAATATTATCTTTTCATTCTACAAAACAATTTTTGATTTACAAAATTTAATTAAATTAATAATTAAAAAACAATTAAAATAATAATATAAATTGGAAAAATATTTATTTGCACCAAAAAAATAAATATTCTTAAAATTGGTGTTAATAGTTTGCTCATTTTTCTTGAAAAATAAGTTTCACTATATAAAACAAAATTTTTACATAAAACATTAATATTTAATTAGGAGTCATTTTAAATATAGAAAATCATTATTTAATGATTGTATATTATATACTTTTGTTGTTACATTCAAAAAAATTAATTAAATTACTTTTGAAAAGTATTAATATGTTACTAGATGCATCCTTAAAAAGGTTACTATTTAATATATTTCAAAAGTAATTTATTTATATTGAAATTTCTACATCATTAAAAACCTATTACAGTTTTGTTATCTATTGGTATAATAAAATAAAACTAATTTTTTTCTATTCTTAAAAAATTATATGTAATTTTTTAAAAATGAAGTGAGTTCATAATTCTATAAATCCAGCAGAACCAGCAAAACCAATTCCAACAATGTAAATGAATTGAATATTTTTAAAATTATTTTATATTTGAATAATATTCATAATAGGGTAGAGGAGACTAGGGTTGTTGAGCTATTGCTCTTTTCAAATACAGCATAGTTATCAGAGACCTGCAGAAATATCAGGGGTTCGAACCGAACCCAAACCCAGAGAAAAAACCCTGGTTTTTGGGAAAAAATTTGAACCCAAACTGAACCTGAACGCGGATTATAAAATTTTCAAAACCCCGAACCGAACCTGAGAATTTTATTTGAACCTGGGTTCAACCGGGTTCAGTGTATTGTTTAAATTAATATTAAATATTTGTATAATTCTAAATACAAGTATTAATAATTTACTTGACATTTTATAATATTTTTAAATTTCCAATTAAGTGAAGTGTTAATTAATTTTAAACAACTTAATTCATTTACTCCATTTTTAAATTTATTCTCAAAGATTCCTATTGGATTGTTTATAAATTTTGCCATTTTTTTTTTATTTTTAACTTATTCTCAAAGATTATTAATTAGAGGAAAATGTGAACAAGTCAGATGTTAATTTAAAGAAATACGTCTAATATTATCAATTTAAATATTCTTAAACCAGAGATAAACCCGGAACCAAACCCGGGTTCAAAAATATTTCCCTGAACCGAACCTGAACCTATCCACCTATTTTTTTAAACTTAAACCGAACTCGAACTGAACCCGTAAATTTATGCCATTTGCATGCCTAGCCCAGATTTTTTTAAAATATATTATATTCGGTTTAAAATATTTGGTTGTAAAGTATACGGCCTGGTCCAGGAATTTTTTTTAATAAAATTTTTTAGGCTCAGCTTGGCCTGGGTATTTAAAACAAAACTTTTTAGGCCCAGTCCGGATATATTTTAAATAATTGGCCTCTCAGATATTACATTATAATTGGTATATAGCGTTTTTAGGATGGTGAATAATCCATGGAAATATATTTTTTGTGTTGAGAATGTTTTCAATTGGAATTAACTTAAATTTTTTTATTGCAATCTAATATTTTCTCACTATTTAGAACAATGTATATTAGTCATACATACATAGGTAGGAGTTAGCAGTAGTCATCTTATAATTTGCATATTGATTTTTTTGAAACTAAGACTAATATTAAATTCTTAAAATTTTACACAATTAAAAAAAATTTTTGGCCATATATTTTTTTCCATTACAAAAGACTTATCACATGTTTTTCTATAGTCTTATAAATTTCTCGAGTTAAATTTTTGATGTTTAGGACAACAGGGTGTAAAACTTTTTTAAAAAAAAATCTACAAAAAATTCCTTACATAGCTACAGCTCTGAATATTTTTCTTGCAAATCAAACTTTCCAAGTGTAAATATTTTATTGTTTAAAAAACAACTGGACTAATCTTAAGTATATTAAGCTTACTCATCAATTTTTAATTTTTAAGATACACTAAAATTAAAAATGTCAACTGCAAAAAAGTGAATAAATAAGGATTATTTTATTGTGATAAAAAAATACAAAAGATTTAAAATTAATACAATGTGTAAGTGTATAGAAGTTGTAGATACCTTTTCCTAAATAATATAGATAATTTTTTATAAATTCATTAGAATTTACAATTTATTATCAAATTTAATTCATCTTACATTTGCATAATCAAATCTCGATAAATGGAATATCGCACGTTTTCTATATTCATTCTTTTTACTTACCATATATAATAAAATAAAATTATTAATGAATATTGTATTTTTCCGCTTGTACTTCGCATTATAAATCAAAAAATATTAATTACAAATTTTTAAACAAAAGGTGTATTATTATTTTTTATTTAAAAATTTTGTTAAAAAATGAATAATTAATTGGTTTAAACTTTCCCTTTTTTTATTAAAAAAAATCTTTTAATGATTTAAAAAAAACTAATTAATTTTTAATTTTTAGCCTACATTATTTCTAGATTTTTTTACTTACACAGACAAAACAATGAAGATGTAAAATGTCGTATACGATTACCTGTCTTTTAATGAATGAATGCTTTAAACGAACTCATAAATATAATAGGAAAGGAATAGTGTTAGGTTAGTGTAATTAGAGATCTGCAAATAGGCTGGATCGGGCCTAATATACTTTTAAAAAATCCGGGCCGAGTCGGGTCGGGCCTTGGAATTTTTTTAAAATATATCTAAATTTACTAATTTTATGTAAAATAAAAATTTGATTTTATTTATAAAAACTAGACGCCATATAACATATATCTATTATTTTTAGTAATTATAAAAATGAATTTCTATATTTAAATAAATACGGGCCGGGCTTGAAAAATTAGGCCCGATGCAGATCACTGAGTGTAATATCCAATATTCTGGAATTTTAAACGTTTTTTAATTTTGACTTTTATTATTGTCCCTTTTTATTAAAAAATAAAATTTCTTAAAAAGTATGATTAATTAATGCCTCCTACTGAGTAATTTATGTTTTGCTATTTAACATTTAAATTATAAAGCTATTTTTGATATCTAATTTCACATTATTTGAAAAAAATAAATTAAGATCAAAATTATTATCTTTTGATCAAGTATAAAGTAATAGAAATGATAATTTCGATCATGATGTTATAATTATTATATTATGTATAAATTTAAAAATCATTTTATATTTCTATTTTTTGAATAAAATTTTAATCCAATCAATTATGGCTCAATTTGTTATTTAAGTATTGTAAAAAACTACTTATATAAAATATAATCGATTGTGTATAAAGAAATCCCAT